ACCATTACGTCTTCCTCCAATTTATCCCCTTAAGGAATAAGGAAGCTACGGGCTGTGCGGTAACCAGTGCTCACCTGCTGTAACTTTCTGTATTTATTTTCTTGACACAATTACCATCAGGATCACTAGCCTGGTCTCAACAAAGAAAATGCATCACAAACAAATTGGGCCCAGAGAGTGGCAGTGCGGGTGGGACACAGGGTTTCTAGGAAGAGGCACAGAAAGCTTGAAGACAGATCCAGCTGGAACCAAGCCTCAGCTTGACCACTGCCCATCTCTGTGGCCCAAACACACCGTTGTACAATCTCTCTCAGTCTCACCTTCCTCACTGTAAAATGGAGCTGATCATACCTGTACCATCAGACTGGAATAAGGATAATGAATTAAAATGCTTAGCATTCTCTTCATAACATTCTTTTTCAGTAGACAAATTTCCACTGGAATACTTAAAGTAAGCCCATGATTTGCAAAAAGAAACAAGTGGGACTCCATCAAATTAAAAAGCTTCTGTACAGCAAAGGAAATAATCAACAAAATGAAAGGCAATGGGAGAAAATATTTGCAAATCATATACCAGGTAAGGGGTTAACATCCAAAATATATAAGGAATATACAAAACTCTATAGTAAAAATGGAGACAATCCAGTGAAAAAAAAAGAGCAGAGGAGCTGAATACACATTTTTCCCAAGAAGACACACCCATGGCCAACAAGTATGTGAAAAGGTGCTCAACACCACTAATCCACAGGGAAATGCAAACCAAAATTACAGTGAGATATCACCTCACATCAGTCTGAATGGCTATCATCAAAAGAAAAAAGAGAGAGAAATAGGTGTTGGCAAGGATGTGAAGAAAAGGGAACAATCATACACTGTTGGTGGGAATAAAAATTAATTCAGCCTCTATGGAAAACATCATGGCAGTTTCCTCAAAAGTTCAATAGCAAACTACCATATGATACAGCAATCCTACTTCTGGGTTTGTAGCCAAAGGAAAAGGAAATGTAATCAATATTTTGAAGAGATATCTGCACTCCTGTCTTCACTGTGGCATTATTCACTATAGCCAAGATATGGAAACAACCTAAGCATATATCAACAAATAATGCATAAAGAAGGTATATGCAATGAAATATTATTCAGCCATGAGAAAGAAGGAAATCCTGTCATTTGCGACATCATGGATAAACCTTGGGGACATTGTGCTAAGTTAAATAAATCAGATAAAGAAATACTGCATGGTGTCACTTAAGTGTATCAACTTAAAAGAAGAAAAGTTAAACTCACAGACACAGAAGAGTAGAAAAAGTAGTTACCAGGGGCTGAAACAGACAGAAGTTGCTAAAAGAATACAAACATTCAGCTATAAGATGAATGAAGCCTGAAGATCTAATGTAAAATCTGGTGACTCTAGCCAATAACACTATTAAAGCATTGAAATTTGCTAAGAGAGTAGAACTTAAATGTTCTCACCCAATACATATAATACATACATACATACATACATACATACCTGAGGGGACGGATTATGAATTAACTAGATAGGAGGAATTCTTTCAGAAAATACATATATCAAATTACCAAGACATACAAGTTAAACATCTTACAATTTTGTCAATTATACCTCAATAAAGCTGAAAAAATGCACAATTTGTTTTTCATTTTTTATTTTCTTTCTTTCCCTCCTTCTTTCTCAGACATCACCCTGAAATACAGAAGTTTATGGGACAAAATTTGAACTTGTGAACAGCTGAATCTTAACTTTCTCCAAGCTAATTTGAATGCTATGTTTCTGCTGAACCCTGCTCAACAACATGACATCTTTTCCCACTGCACTGAAAAACCGAAGTGAATAGCCCAATAAGCAAATGAAGGCTATCTCAGAAAATGAGTTTGAAAAGCCTAAGAAAAGTAGGGGAGATGCCTCCTGAGGAGATGCCTTCAGAGGAAGAGAATCACAAGCATCCAGTCACAGTCACAAAATGTGTTAGCTTGTCAGGCCTGGAGAATTTTTCTTCCTTAAAATTATAGGTAATATTCTATCTCTGGCAAAGGGAGGGAGACCACCTTACATTCAAGGAAAATCAGTAACTAGAACATGCACAAGCTTCAAAAATTAGTCACACGTTACTATGGTAATGCAAATATTACCTAACAGCTCACTGGGCCCTAAGTAACCCAGATGATGTTAAACCCATTACTTTAAACATGAAAAATGGGCTCTATTTTTAGGAATACTTGCAAGGAACTGGATGGACCTAACAGCAGACTGAAGGCAGCACAGGTCGGCCCCCGCACCCAGGACTCGAGGTCCCTCTCATCCTGAGCACATCGAGCTCTGTGTCACGTGCACATGCAGCTGTGCCCACTAACAGCTGCAGGGGGAGAGCGATGACTTTCTGCTTGCTAACAAAGGGCTACCATTGGGAAGAAGAGTCTTCTCACTCTCTAAACTCTTAATGAAAGAATAATCCTGGCTACTGCCCACTGAAGCGGGACAGACCAGTGCCAGACTTAGGTGGCAGTCCCTTGTACACTCAACATTGAGAATTTCCTCAGGCAAAATAAGATCTCCCAGAAAATGACTAGGATGTCTGATAAAACAGTAATTTTCCCACTGTTACGAGCAGTTTGCATTTCCTGAGTATATATTCATCTTGTTTAGAACAAAAACACACATAGAAAACGAATTTTTTAATTACTCCAAGAACCGGTCACATACAAACACTCGCAAGTCACACTTAGTACACAACTTCTATTCCCAGTACACAGTGTCTGGGACAAACGGCTCCCAGCAGTGTTCTTCCAGGTGGCATCCCATATCAGAATTCCATGGAGGGCTCTTAAAATACAAAACCTTAGTCCATATGCAAGTCCACTCAATCTGTGTCACTGGGCCTGGGATTTGAAAATACACATTTTTAAAAGATTCTCCCTGTAATGTTTATGTTCTCTAGTCTGAGAATTCCATCCTTAGTAATCTGCAATAAACTGAGGTCTCCTAGCTATGACAGAAGACAGGCCAGCCAAGAGGGGACACAAGCCAATATAAATTAATCAAAGGCAGGGCTGTTTGTGACTTCGTAGCTTTTAAACTACAACCCAGGGTAAAAAACAAGCACATTATACATGTTTATATATGTGTGTGTAAGACACAAGTTTTCGCAAACAACAACCAACTAAACTGATTTCGCCATATAGTAATTGGTGGTGTTTGAAAACCCTATTATAACTTCTATTGTCCTATAATTTTATCACTTTTACCATTACACTTTTTCATATTATATCCCAAATAGCAGAAAAGCATACGATCTTTTCCAATAGTCTCCAAAAGTCACAATAGTTTAGTTACCTTTAAAAGATGACTTTACCAAGTTGAAATGAGACAGTCTCAGGATGTCAACAGCAATACACCTAACTTCTAACACTTACCTTTTATTTACTTACAAGCTCTTTATTTTACAAAGAAGAGCACACAGATTATCTAAATGCAGTATAAAATAAATGAAAAATATTAAGAAAATGAAGCAAGGGGAAAATAGAGACAGGAAACTAAGTATTTGTGTAATGAATCAAAGGAACAAGTAAAATTAATAGATACACACAGGCTGGGAAACCTAGTCTACTTGTTAACTCTCAGTTTTCTGGCAGCCAATGTGAAGAGGAAAACACAATCAGTTGTGAAAATTCTGGTGTTCATCTGGGAAGGACAAAGCAATTTCTGAGAAGCGTTTCCAGGCCTCCCTCCCTCTGGGCTGGGCTGAATGCCCCTTGCCCCACCCCGCAACCCCCCCTCACAGACACATAAATGCACACACACACACACACACACACACACCCTCAGGATAGAGAGAGCCATCACGTAGAAACAGGACCCTTGTTACTGCCTCCACTTCCACCACCACCTGATTCATAGGTAAATGGTGACCCTAGGGATGGCTGATTGGGACAAACAATGCCTGGACCTGAGGACACCCAATTCTCCCTCCTCCCAGAGCACACTGTACTCATTCCTGTCCCAGCACTGACCACCTTGCTGTGATGAACAGTGCTGTCAAGAAGGCTGTCCCTTCCCTCCCTGTCAACCCCACAAGGGTGCAGTTCCATCAGGACAATACTGGCTCCCATGCATCAGTGAGCTCTCCACAAAACTGAGCTGAAGGCCACGCTCTTCTAGAAATCCCCAGAAGGAAAAATGACAGAAGCACAAGGATCTGGATTTGCTTCCTGATACCCTATAGTTTACTACCCCTGAGCTATCAGCCAACCCACATGACCTTTATGACTCAATTTCTTATCTGTTAACCACAACCCATACTGTTTACATCACAGGTTGTCTCGAGGAAGAAATCAACCAACAGATGTAATGTGCCCGGCCCATTTCCTGGCACACAGTGGGTGCTGAATAAATGCTAGTTGTCCCTTCTCCTATCAGGGATGTCTCAGACATTGGTTTTACTTGCTGACAAAACTACTGTAGTCTTCACAACTCCCTCCCTGTCCTCCAAGCTTCCTAAAGCGTAAAAAAAAATCACCGGAGAAGCAGGGTTCCCAAGAGCACAGAACACTCAGTGCCTGCAAATGTCACCTTTGTTAAGTCTCTTGTCATTGTTTCAATCATTGTTTCAACTACATTAAGCAGGGCTTAGAGGCTGTTATGAAAAAAAAAAAAAAAAGCCTGAGAAAGGAGAGCGGGACTGTCATTAAGTATCAAATAAACGCTTAAGGCAACAATAAGAAAGAAGAGATAATTAGTAAATTCAAGGTCAGAAGGCAAATGCTGTTACTAAAACAGGACACAGGAACTTATCTGGTCTTCACTCCTGAACGTGCTAAATGTCTCCTGGTTAATACTGACATGTCAGTTGTTTACTTTGCACACACTATTTTCATGGATGGTAGAGATCTAAAAGTCAGACCAGCTGAACAGAGGAAACATCAGTCATGTTTCAATTTCCTTAAGTGTAAGTGTGCCAGATTAAATAAAGTGGGTGACCTACCTTTTCCGTGATATAGAAGTTTGAGCTATCAGCATGCTGCAGTGCAAAGTATTCATGGTTGGTAAGGGACCACCTTAAAAATGCAAGCATAAACTGATCAGAAAACCAAAAAATGGTCATTTTTACTTTTACAGTTTGACAGAGTTAGATGAAGTAAATACCCCGTGCTTGGAATTTGGCCAGTACCGTATGTATCCCACAATGTGGTTCCTAAAACAAAATGACACTGACCCACCTTTATTACCCTGAGACCCATCATTTCACATGTGGATCGCTAGGTCTTATTCCAAGCCTATTGCTCACCTTTAAGCATTTTACCTTCATGACTTTGAGGCAGGGCTACTTTAATATAAAGTTACTTTCCTTCCGATTTTGAAGGTGTGGAACAGAGAGAGGAAAACAAAGAAATGAATGCAATGCATTTAAAATTTTTGAAAACGGTTTCATTTCAGTTGTCTCTGTATTCCACAATCCCCCATCAGTATGCCCGCTGCATGTTGCAACATTCCAACTAACTATCCCAGGTCTTCAATAAATTCCAGGTAATACTCTATTCATAGCCCTGCTTTAAAAGTCAAAAAAAAAAAAAAGAAAAACACCTCATGCAACTTCCATACCTGCTTTCCTTTGGACTGAGAATAGCCCAGAGAGAAGTAGAAAAGCCGTACCACCGTGAAGTTTCACGTAGCAGCAAAACTACACACCAACTGGTCTTTTAAATTATTTCATCTTCTATGGGCACTTGAATTTGAGGTCCTCACCTTCCATGAGGACCTAAGTGGTCCTCTTAGCTTATACCAGATGAAGTGTGTATCTAACCTCAGGAACTTTAGACTACTCCCTGCTGAGTAACCACAACTTTCCAAATAAATAAAACCAACCCCAGAGTGTACACACTAGCCATTTCATACTTTCTGCTCTTGGAGGAACAACAGTAATTTTTTGGTTAAAGAGGGCATGTAAATCTTACCTAGGAATCCTTGGTGTCTTTGGACAGGTCAAGTAGTAGCTTAGGAATAATGTTTTATGATCACACAGGGAATATTTTTTTAGCTTTTCAATTTGTGGACTGAAGTGACTCAGATGAATCCTGAGTAACACTTACCCATCACAGACTTCCTTTATTATTGCAGACAGTGGTTTTTTCTGCAAAATAGCAAAAAAAGGAAATACTCTCTGTTAGTTTCATTTCATCATTTTAAATGAAAAAAAAAAGAAGAAGCCTAATAAAAAGATATCTAAGGAGAATTTACATTTGCTATTCTTAGTTGTTGTCAACAAGTCAGTTGTTTTTCTCAAGGTAATAACCTACCAGCCAGCCCCACCAACTATATTGATTTATTACACTTACAGTACTTTTTTTCTATACTTAACATTATTAGTTGAACAAAATATACATCAGATTTAATTCAGCCACCATAAAATTAGGATGAAAACAGCTTTGTTCAAAGATTTCACAGGCAATGAAAGCCCACAAGGTCAAATGATAACCAGAATTCCTCAGGAATAGCACATGAATCAGGCAACCCAGTTTGGTTTTATGCAAACAAACTTGGATTCATGATGTTTTTATGAGAATGCGTGGCAAATGGAATATGAGGTATTGCAAAATTGTTCCTGCAAAGTGCATATAATCCTTCCCCAGCCCTGGCCCAAGCAAATGCCAATCACGCAGCAGCTTGAGCTGGCACACTTGAATTATGAGACCATGACACCACGTGCCATGGTGTCAACTGGTGGTTGACTACAGCTGTGACTGGCCTACCAGCCACAGCTGTGCTCTGCCTGCCTCCAGAGAAAAGGAATGCAGCAAAGAGACACACACACACTGTTCACCCAGAGATGTTGAAATTCTTCCTGCCTTGGATGCAAACAGACCCTGTCTGTCTCCTGGGGTGGGCGACAGTGTATCAACAAAGAAACAGATCACAGACAACAAACAAATAGGGAAGAGAAATCAAGAAATACAATACATGGTCCTGGATTTTCAGATACAACCATAGGAAAGCTGACTGCATATAAACACGTACAACTCCTATCCTCTGAAGAGCATGTGGTACAGGAAAAGGAATTCTGCATCAAGCAGAACTGGTTCAAATCCTAGCTTGTCAACTTGGCTGAGTGTGACCTACGATTCCTATAATTTTTTGAACCTCAACTAGTTTATCTGTAAAATGGGTATAGGATATATCCACTCCTCGGAGTTACTGTAAGAATTAAATTAAGTTAAATTAAGTGGAAGATAATATAAAAGGGCTTGGGCTCTGGCTTCCTTGCCCTCTTGAGCCATTAGAAGAGCTCCATTTCCTCCTTGCATCCTTGCCCTTGGACATGATGCTGCTCTGTCTGCATTCTGAACACTGTTCATTATCCTTTTCAAGGGCCTCTAATCCCTGCTAAAAGCTCCAGCTCAGTTCTCAGCGTTCCTCCAGTGAACGCCTTCCCACTGGAGCTCTAGCCACCCTGACAAAGTCCACCACTATGTGTTCAAAAGAATGACTGCCTGCAACTATAAAATATAAAAGGAGTAGGGAGGAGGAGGGGGACCTAGGACTGTTGAGGAGTGGAAGGATGGCAGGGTATTCCCGACATCGTGAGTCAGTCTCCTCTAGAATAAGATTAGAAATGGAGATTGGGTTCTACAGTGAAGTTACATGTCACACAGTCCTAGACCTTTGCAAGAACTTGTGTGTTGTTTAGCTTGTCCATTTAGCTGTGAGGTGCAGGGCAAATGTGTTCTCACAACCAAATGACAAAGGAAACTTAGGAACAAAGCTTTTCCCATAGGATGAGGATTTGTACTTTTCAGCTGCCAGAAACCTCTCCAGGCTACCAGTATTTCAGGGAGATCTGTTCATCTCCCAGCCTCCTAGTCTTCCTGCATCCTGAAAAATGAAATATAAATAACAGGGCTGGATTTCAGCCTTACGTTACATTGAAACAACAGATCAGGCCAAGAAATTATTACTGTTGAGGCAGGAGAAGGAATCTAAAATAACAGCTCCCAGAATAAGACTTCTTGGTTGAGGTACATTAGAGGAATTTCTTGGATTTTAACTCAGGTCTGATTCACAGATTCAGAATTATATTTGAAAAGACAGAAGCCTATAGGGTACTATTATATCTATAACATTCTGAAGTTGGATATATGAAAAGAGTAAAGACCATGGAAGAACAAAGCTGAGGATTTAATACAGAAAAATTAAAGAAAAGCCTGAGCCACAGAGGGAAAGGAATCACAGTTAACTGAACACAATGCATCCATAATGCAGCCAACCCAATTAAAATGAATATTATGTAAGTAGGGGGCTGATCATACTCCCCACTTTCTATACCTGCCCCTTCTACCCTTCTATCTGTTCCCATAAAAAGTCAGCCCCCACCACCCAAACCCAGTTGCCAATGACCATTCACAGTTCTCATCTCTTTTAATCCATCTACCTTATTTGACACTGTTACAACTACCTTCTTTTTGAAACCCTCTCTCTAGAACTTCTATGATATCCCCTTTATTCTCCTATAGTTATAACCAGTAAGCCTTCAAAAAAAACAAGAGATCCTTCATTGTTTCTCATTTACCTCTGCCTTCCTAACTCCAAATTTCTGTTCTTATTTCTTCTGCTTTTACTCAATTGGTCAGTTCCTCATTCATTTCAACTGTCCAAAGTCTATATAGCTCTGGTCCCAAACACTATCTTGGGACAGTCTGTCAGATACAGTTTTTTAATTCTCCTTCAGGCATCTTATTAAACATACAAACAAAAATCACCACTCTCACTATTCCCACCCATTAGTCCCCCAAAATACCATGCCCCCCCAAAGTTTAACCTACCCCTCCATGACTCTTCTGCCTCATTGGACACCACAACTGCCCAGGAGCATCAGTCACCTTTATGTCTTCACTCTCCAGATCTAATTTGTTACCAGGTTATGTAGCATTTTCGCCTCTGATGCTCACATCATTACTTCTCACTTTCTAACTATTCTCCCAAAACCCTGACACTCATCGTTTGATGCCTGGTACAGAACCAATCCTTCTCCAATCTGTCACACTTAGCTGTAGGTCCCTAGCCTCAGAGACTTTCCTGAGCACCATCGCATCACTAGTAACTACCTGCCTTAAGTTTCCATCCGCAAGCTGCATGTCAAACTTAGGCTCCTAGTTTCCATTGGTTCCTACACTCAACTTGCTTCCTTTTGGCAGTTTCTCCACATATGCTTCTAAAGAACTTATTCTTGTCATCTCCTGTTTTTTACCCTCTTCTGTGACATATACATTTATAAGACACTGTGTCCCATCATCGCTTCCTCCACAACTTTTCTCCCCTTTATTCTTTCTAGGACTTACACTACCATCTTTATTAAAAGGTCTGAGGATCCCGTCACCAGATTCTTGCAAAGAAGCCTCCACATCTCCATTTTCTTTCTGTACAATACCTGTATTAACTATAATTAGACTAAAATTAGACTTTCCCCACAAACTTTGCTCATGTCTCCCTTTTGCTCCAATCTCCTCCATAGAACCCCAATGACCACCACTTAGAGAGTATAAACTCCTTAACTTGTTATCCAGTGTCTACCACAATCTGGTCTCAAGCAAAGTTTCTACCAACATTGTACATGTTCTCCATGCTTCTTGATGAGACTCACCAAAAAAAAAAAAAAAACTTCCCAACTCCATATGTTCACTCTATGCCATTTGCTGAAACATCCCTCTCCTCTGTGTTCCAACCCTACCACTAATACCCATGTGGCAGCCACCTCCTCTAAACAGATGTCCCTGATCTCCCCAGGTAGACAGAGATCACTCCTTCTCTGCACTCAGCCTATTAAATAAATCACTCCTAAGGATTTTGTACACCTGTCCTCTCTTCTTGTCCCTTGAGATCAAGGCATTGTAATTCACCTTTGTAACCTTCCTCACCCTTCAGTACTAGTTACCACAATACATAGGTGCTAAGGACCTAAAAGGAGACTCAACACATTTTTGTTAAATGGAAAACCCAGACATTCACTTTCTTTAAAAATCAAAACAAACAAAAAGGCTTGAATGTAAAGCAACTATTTTGAAGTCTAGCCTGGATTACACAGCACCCAGCCCACTTGCCACCGTGTAAACCACGCCTGGAGGCTCTAAGCAGCTGCTGGCTCTAAGCTGTTAGGCGTGTGAAAGCTGCCACTACTCCCTGCACAGACCTCGCTGGAAGGAGTTATGTGACTCATGGAGCACTGAGTGAGCCAGCTGATGAGAAGTGTTATTCAACAGCTGATAAAAACAGACACCGATTACTGACTGTCACCACCCATTTAGCAAGGCCACACAGGTGAGCCACACTCTCTTAAACAGAAACAGAACGAGATACCTAAGCAGAAAACACTAGCCTGCTATCACTGCTTCTCTCACTACCTGTATAAAGCCCTCACCCGTATAAAGTTTGACACGAGCTCCTTGCCTGACTTAAATTTCAAGCCAAATGCCAGCTTTGGCTATGTTTTAGTTAACATTTGCTCAGGTTACATATGGTGTTTCTATCTACCTGTCCAGTTCTCCAAGACTTGGGAGTAGGGTGACAAGAGCAATATCTTGATCACTTTCTGTAGACCCACTGAAGAACCTGCCTTTCACTTCAGGCCTCAGAGAAAAGGAATTTGGTCTAAAAGGATGAAAACTGGTTCTTTTCCCTGTCACTCCATAAACCCTAAGGAAACTGACAATAAAATTCTATACTCCATTTGAATATATCTAGACTTAGAATATAGAGGCAAATTATTTTAACTGCCTGAGTATGTTTTCATAAATTACAAAAATCATAACTAAATTCCACAAGCTTTCTTGTTTGAAAGGTCAAAACTACCTTCTTGGACTCAGCAGTGAACTGAAATGGGAAAAGCAGGAATGTTGTGGGGGATAACCTAGAGAATTAGACAGTTAGCAGATTTCTACGTGCAGTGGATCAGGGACAATTTGACCCCAGACTACACTCTTTCCCCATTCCCTTTAGCAACGGTGAGGTCATCTTGCAGCATACAAAAGCATTTCTCAACTTTATAGTATTCCGGGAAAATGTTAATTTTGGCAGAAACATTTTTATTTCTCAAACGAAGTATGCATTTCCATATGAATCTGATTGGCAAAGTCCCATGTG